TTAATCCCCCCCCCCCCCCCCCTCGGCCGCCATTGCCTACATAGGCTCGGCCGTGTGATCAAATACAACTGCCACCGCGCCTCTCTAGCTCGACGCTTCGGCATGGCGGCAGTGCAACCGCCCGGCACGGGGCTGCATACGAGCCAGGAGAAGCCGTACGGCAGCCGCACGGGCTACGACCACCCTCCCGCCTCCAACAACAGCCACCATTCACCTCACCAACAGCAAGCGTACCCTTCCAACCACTCCACGACCGGCTCTTCCTTTGACAGCAGCTCAGCCCCCATCAATCCGATTCTCGAGCCAAAGCTGCACAATCTGGCCAACGATGCCGCCATCACCGATGCCTACAATAGCCTGACGGCTCAGGTCAATGCTCAAAACGATGCCGTCAATCGCATCGTACAATCACAACAATCCCTGCAACAACAACAAGCCTCCACCCTGGTACGTTGATCGGCGCTCTCCCCAGCTTCATGCCTGTTACACGAGGAGCAAACACAAATGGCTGAGACGAGAGAGAGAGAGAGACACACACCAACAACAACAACAACAACAACAACAAAAGCTTCAGCTTGAACAATCTCACATGACCTTGTCTTCCGCTCCTGCCTCGTGTATCGCTTCACCCGTGACAGAGCTCGGATCGCGCCGCCGTGGAGGACCGCCTCGCGCGAGTTGAAGACCAGATTCGTCGCCAAACAGATGACATGCGCGTCATCAAACAGAATCAAGACCACATTATCCGCCTCTTTCAGGTCCAGAAGCAAGTTCTTGAGCAGGAGCGTCTCATCCGCGCCATCGCAGACCAACAGCAACGCGCCCTGCAGATGATGCAGCCCGTCAATGCCTCCCTCGATCAACTGGCAGTGCTCCAAGCCAACCAACACCAGCTCCTAAGAGGCATGGGCTCCGTTAACCTCCAGCCCACGGCCGGTGTCACCAATCACGCTCAAGCCGTTGGTAGCTACAACGTGCCCACCGTCGTCGGTGGCACCGGTCCTTCTGGCGTCGAGCAGGGCCACCAACTGCATGACACCGTGGCTCGCAGCAATTGGCGAATCGACGGTGACGCTGTCTCTTACGTCCAGGCCGTCCGAGCGCACATGGGCCCCACCATTATCCCGTACGTGCACTTTGACGCTGATACCGACGCCAAGGCTCTGCGCAAAGCCATGCGGGGCCTTGGCACCAATGAGCGCGTTGTCGTCGACATTATCGCCAACCGCACCCGCCAACAGCGCCTTGAGATTGCGCGGGCCTACAGCACCAACTATCGCCGCGATCTTGTCAAGGACTTCCGTAGCGAGATGGGTGGCAAATTGCGCCAACTGCTCGTGTCTCTCGTCTGCACCCGCTTCGAAGCCGAGGCTATTGCCGCTCACGATAGCATCCAGGGCATGGGCACCGACGAGGAATCGCTCATCCTGGTTCTCGCAGACAAGACGGCCACGGAGATGGAGCACATTCGTCGCGCTTACTCGGAGCTTTTCTCCCGTGATCTCGTCGCCGACATTCGCAGCGACACCAGTGGCTGGTTTTGCAAATACCTCGTGGCCTTGGCCGAGGGTAAGCGCGAGGAGGACTCGCGTGGCGTCAATTTCGACCTGGCACAAGAGGACGCCTCGTCCCTCTATGAAGCTGGTGAAAGCCGTATGGGCACAGACGAAAAGGTCTTTGTGGAAATCTTCTCCACCCGCAGCCTGCCTCAGCTTGCTGCCATCGCTACCGCATATGCCAAGCTCTCCGACAACGACCTCAGCCGTGCCATCGAGAAGGAAACAAGCTTCAACTTTCGCCGCGCTCTCCAGGCTACCCTCGCTGCCGCCACCAATCGGGCCGAACATTATGCTCGCGCCCTCAAGACTGCCATGGACGGCGTCGGTCACAACGCCGTCGCCCTCATCTACATCCTCTCCACGCGCGCCGAAATTGACCTCATGGACATCATCACAAGCTACCGCAGCCTCCACGAGGGCGATCTGTATGAGCGTGTCCGCTCAGAAACCCGTTTCGACTACCGGCGCTTGTGCCTCGAACTCTTTGGCGATGCTCTTTTTGACCCGGCAAAGGACGCCAAAATGCTTCGTAAGGCCATGCGTGGTCTCGGCACCAACGAAAAGATGCTGAACCGCATCATTGGCGGCCGCAGCAGCTCACAGCGCGCCGTGATTGCCACTGAGTTTGAGAAGATGTACCAACGCAACCTGGCCAAAGACGTCAACAGCGAAGTGGGCGGTGATTATCGCTGGTTCCTCCTCGCGCTGCTCAAGGATCCGGATGAGTTTGTGGCCTCGGAGGTCCAGCGGGCCATTCGCGGTCTGGGCACGGATGACCGTAGCCTGATTGAAATCATTTGCACACGTGATGCCGCGGAAATGAAGCGACTCAAGGACAAATACCAGGAGCTGTACGGTGTGTCCCTAGCTGAGGCCATTCGCTCCGACACGTCAGGCAACTACTGCAAGCTCCTGTGCAGTATGGTCGAGAATACACGCCGAGAGGATGAGCCCGTGAACCAGGAGCGCGCTCGGGAGGAAGCCGCACGCCTGTACGCGGCGGGCGAGGACCGCATGGGTACGGACGAGGATGCCTTTATCACCGTGTTTAGCACCCACTCCTTTCCCATGCTTCAGGTCATTTTTGAGCACTACGCCAAACTGTGCGACTATGAAATCTCAAAGTCAATCAAGCGCGAGACGAGCTTCAACTTCAAGCGCGCGCTCATCACAATCGTGCGTGCTGTGCGCGAGTACCACGACTTTTTTGCTGAAGAGTTTGAAAACACCATGAAGGGTATTGGAACCAAGGACTACCACCTCGTGCGCCTCATGGTGATGCACTGCGAGAAGGACCTCGACTTAATTGCCGAAGCCTATCATCGTCGCTACAAGCGCACGCTGGAAAGTCGCATCCACTCGGATACCTCGGGCAGCTACCGTCATCTCTTCTTGCGGGTTTTGGATAAGTCTCGGGGTTGGTGCACCAACTTTGCCCAGCGCCAGAAGCACCTATCTGCCACGCAACACGTGCCCCAGCACCATAGCCGCATGCTATACCACCAGGAGGCGCCGCGCCAACTGCGTGACGCTCTCTTGGTCCAAGAGACCACCGGCGGCTTTGACAATTCCTTGCCAGGGTCGCGCCGAGGCTCGATCCCTCAGGGTGCACACCCGCCAGGCTCTGCAGCCAACTTGTACCCCAACCAAGGTCTCAGCCAAGGTCCCGCGCGCAACCAACAGCAAACTCAGGGCAACTCTCGTGTACAGCCAGTTCCCATGGCAGTCCACGGCACGGATCAACCCTCGATCAATCTCTAAAAGTGTTCAACGGGGTGCCACGCCAGCTGTGCTCCGCTGGAGGCGGTCGGCAACATCCTGTCATTCGGTCATGCATGCGATGTGTGCGTCTCCGTTTCCCTCCCGTAGCCCGTATCACATGCCTGTCCTTGTTCGTTGTTTTTTTTTTTTGGTTCAATTCTTGCTTGTCTGGATTGTTTGGCGGGGGGTCTTTTGGTTGTGTGACTTTATGAGTCATGTTACTGTAGTACTAATACCAGAATTTAAATCAGATGTCAAGTTGAATTCCGACGAGGCCTGCGTTCGGGCAAACCATGTTCAATCAACAGCAAGAAATCGAGGTGCCAAAGACACTGGCGCACAGCGCAAAAGGAGTGGAAAAACATGCAGCTTGTCGTAATAAGCAAATAAAAAAAAAACAACAACAACCGTCAACATCGGAGAGCCATCTGCCATTGCTGGCGTCAACAGGAAACGCATAGGAGTCCATGGATCATTTCGAGGGTGTCGAAGACGCTGTCAGCCGGTGCGTGTGCTCGATGTGCATGCGTTCCAAGGTTTGAATGAGGACAACCTCAAGATCGCGATCGGCATCGTGGGCCCGGATAACAATGGGCGGCTGGTCTGTGGGAAAAAAGAGGCGGACGAGCTGGTGGCGGGTTTCCAATTGATTGGCCACGACAACGTCTTGGCCGTAGGCCCGCAATGAGCCCCGGGCCTTGGCTTCGAGCAAGGCATGGTCTGTCTCAAGCTTGAAGGTGACCATAAAGGCCTTGGGGCACCGGGCGCGGAACACCCCAAGCATCTTCGGAACAGGTTGCAGGTCCAGGTGCAGGCCATTTTGTTCTCGGGATTGAATTTTGTGTTCAGGCAGGCATTCCCGAGGGAGGAAGAAATCAGAGACGGCGGCAGCTAGGTAGAGCAGAACTCGGGGCCCCAAGGGTTCGAGGAGTGCTTCAATGCGCTCCAGGAGGGAGAGATAGTCAAATATTGTTACAAAAGGCAGCTCCATTAGTCGTTGATCCTTCAGCGCCTAGAGAGCTCGGAAAGAGGATTGACAAGTGGAAAGTGAAGAAATGGAACCACTTTGACAGCCATTCTCAAGCTTTGAGGTGAGAGGCGCCTACATCCAGGCGAAAAGCCAGGGGGGGTGGGAGGCCTCGTTGCGTGGACGGCAGATGTCTGTCTCACCTGGCGACGAGTGGCGAGCTGTTTGGCCGCCCTGGAGCATAGCTGGCCATCAGCATCAGAGTCCCGATCGAGGTCGATGCGATGTAAAAAAGGACGCATCGAGGTCTTTCGATGCACAAAGAGAACGTGATAGCCGGCTGCCAGAAAGGCCTCTGTGGAGGCGGCCCCACGTTGTCCCCCGGAAAAGTTATCAACAAAACGGACTGTGTTGGCCTCCAATGGCACCGTGGTTCCTCCCGAGGTCACCACAGCCAAGCGACACGCCCCAGGTAGAGCGGCAATAAACTCGGCAACGCGTGCATAATTGTCCTCCTGCTGCATTTGCTGCGCAGCCAACGGCGCCAGCGCCATTTGCTCAAGCTTCAGATGATCCATCTCGTGCCGCTGATCAGCCTGCAAAATGCTGACAATCGAACAGACAGAAGAGAGAGAGAGAGAGATGAATTGGTTTGGTCAGTTTGAGAAAGAGAGAGAGAGAGCTGGCACAACAACGTTGTGGGTGAGAGAGAGAGAGAGAGAGAGAGAGAAAATGAGAGAGAGAGAATAACAAGAGCTAAGAGAGAAAGAGAAAGGTACAAAGACGGCAATTGAATGTCAGCAAATGTTATGGCTGCCAACGAAACTCTGGCAATGTCATCATTTCGGGGCATTTTGAAGATGGCGGCGACCGACTCTTCCTCCTCTGCGGCTCAGGCGGCGGCCGGCGCGTCAGATGTGGTGATCGAGGGGCTGGAGGACGTGGGTTCATGCGTGCGCATGGCAAGAGATATCCAAAATCAACGCTTGCAGAGCTATCAAACATTTGAGACGTAGGTCGCGGTGGTGGTTGTTGTGCCACTGACTCCTGCTACGCGCGGGTCCTTGGTTGGTGTGCTCTCATTGTGTGCCCGAATCACAGCGCTTTCCTGGCCTACTTTGAGGCACGCGACTTTGCCATATATCGTCAAGCCGTGCATGATCATACCCTTACTTCACAGCGCCTAGCTAATGAACTCAAGGTGACGATGCACTCCGCCAATTGGTGTTGCTCGAGGCAAAGAACAAGCTCATGCCATGCGCTCGACATGAAGCCTTTCTTTTCTTGATCAGATGGCCATCATCAGCAACGCCGTCATGCTTGGCTGATGAGGTCCTGGACCGCACCCTTGATCGCTGATACTTTGGTTGTGCTTAGGTGGTGCGGTTGCGCCTCGAAGAACTCGATGCCCTTGGCGCAGCTGAAATTTTGGGCGCCCTGCAAGAGCTGGAGCAGCGGAAGCTGCGACTGGTACGGCAACGGCAAGGCAGCCCCGCCGTGGTCTGGGCCTGTGACACCTTTGCTTTGCTCGCAAGATTCGAAATCCTGACCGAATTGGTGCTTGCTTTGCAACCCCGCTTCACTTAGGTCGCTCAAGACCAGCTGGACCGCTCACAGCGTCCCGCTGAGAAAGATCCCTTCGCTGCATCGGAACACGCTGTTCGCCCGCCACGCGAAGATCGCAGGTTGGTCGCTATCCTGCTTCTTGCCATGTTTTGCACATGAATGAGCCTGGTCTTGACAGCTGGTTCATTGACTGGTCCCACAGCGTGGCGCAGGTGAATCAAGAGCTAGCCGAGCTGGCCCGTGACCTGCTCCTTGAGCTCGACTAGAACTACTCTCTCTTCCTGACCCTACACCCCGCGCCCACAGCGCCGTGCGCTTCATCAGGGCCATTGCCAATCGAAAGCATCTCGAAAAAAACCCATCAACTCGTTGAAGAGTCGACTCTGAGCTCGTTCCATGCTTTCCTTTAAAGCGGGTTTCAGATCACGCACATCACACACACCAGGCACCTGGGCAAAACAAAATCAAAAGAGCAAGACAAACTCGCGTCACCGCCACGTAACTTACACCCTTGCCAGCCTGAAGGTCAGCAGCAGCAAAAAAACTAAAAAAGTAAATCTGATTCGTCCGGGAATCGAACCCGGGTCTACCGCGTGGCAGGCGGCAATTCTACCACTGAACCAACGAATCATCGCTTGGTATAGTGAGACAAATAATCATACATATACAACACTAACACAACCAACATAATGAAAAAATTATGACGACGATGTTCTTTGTCATCAAAAAGATAAGCGTAATTCGTCCGGGAATCGAACCCGGGTCTACCGCGTGGGAAGCGGTAATTCTACCATTGAACCAACGAATCCGTGCTTAATCCGGGCATGCGAATAGAGTTGTATATAATACTCAACAGTCTCACCCACCATCAAAAGAAACGCTCAGCTTCCAAAGAAAGAGAAAAACAAAGAGAAAAACTCAAAAAGTAAATCTGATTCGTCCGGGAATCGAACCCGGGTCTACCGCGTGGCAGGCGGCAATTCTACCACTGAACCAACGAATCATCGCATGTACAACAATGGCACAGTTTTGAGTTTAAAGAGCGATGCTTGTTGTCAAAAAAAAAAACCAACAACAAATGTCCTGACATCCTTCACGGCGCGTGAAGGTCCACGAAGAAAAATAAGTCAATGGACTACGCCTTGATTCAATGCCTAGAAGACGCGCTAAAAAAATCATTACTCGCATGCCAAACGTCCACGCGGGCTGGCTGCCGTCGGGCAGAGCAGTAAAAAAAGTCAAAAAGTAAATCTGATTCGTCCGGGAATCGAACCCGGGTCTACCGCGTGGCAGGCGGCAATTCTACCACTGAACCAACGAATCATCGCTTGAAACTCCCGCCCTTGAAAACAAATATAAAAGGATCCAAAGCTAGTGTCACACAAAATTGATGCAAAGCCCAAGAGCAAAAAAAGAAACTGTGCACCTTTGATGTAGCCTTAGGCTTGGCAAAAGTGCCAAAAAATGTAATCCTGATTCGTCCGGGAATCGAACCCGGGTCTACCGCGTGGCAGGCGGCAATTCTACCACTGAACCAACGAATCATCGCTTGGGATAGTGAGACAAAATAGCTTATATAAATACATTCAAAAAAGACACTCGTTGCCAGTCAACGGGCTGTGTTGTCAGCATATTCGAACGTTGCAGCGGTGACCGTCAAGGTTGTCGCGCTCAAGGGGGCGGAGCTGGGAAACGAAACGGGTGTTCTGGAGTCGTGACACCGTGTTGCGACAGCCCTGGTTGACGGAGCAACCAAAGACCTAGGGCCTCCACAGATGAGACGCAGCCGTCTGTGTATGCTAAACAGACAAGAGCCGAGCAGTGCAGTGGCACGTCCAACTACAGGCTATTCTTTCCCAAACGATCAGAGCCCTGAAATGTCTGTGTTACACAGATCACACGTGTGTGACGCGACCAACAGCCTTCACCTTGATGGGCAGAGATTGAATCCAGCTCTTACATGGACTGTGAATCGCTCCTACCCTACTCGTTCTTGGCGCTGGTTGTTCAGCACGAGATCCAAACAGGTGGCAGGTCTTGGTGCAGCCAAACCTTGCATGCGTCTTGTCCACTACTGGCTAGTCTTGTGCGCAATACAATGGTCAAGCATGCATGCTCAAGCCAGAGCGCATCGCTGCGCTATGAAGAAGCCATCGATTTGGCGCCAGAACTTCCGTCGGCTTTGCTGTGGGAGGTCGTTCTGGACTCTGGCAAGGAGCTGAAGCCCAGCTACCAGTTGACATTTCTTGCGCGCAGTCGTGGTCGTTGGCATTGCTTTGGCGTGTGCCCCGTTTGGGCTCAGCGCCAAGATGGCTCGACCAGGTCATCCATGCGCAGCGCTTTCATTGCTGTTGCTGGCTATCATCAGCTGCCACAGCCTGGCGACTGCCACCGTGTTGCCACCGCAGAGTACGTTCGAATCAGCTCGCTCATACCCCCGGTGGTGGCCCGACATTTGTGAGCATTGAGACATGACGCCCAGGCGTACGTATGTGATGTGGAGCTCATGCCTGACCTGTCTCTTCATTGATCGCAGCTTATGATCTTGTCGTCGGGCAGTATCGCTTCGGGCTTTCCTCGACCCCGGCAACTTGGCTCGATGCCGAAGCTGCATGCATTCGCTATCGTGGTCATTTGGCCACGATTGCGGACCTGACCACAAATCATGCTCTTGTGGACACTTTGCTGCGTGACGTTACCAGTGCTGTTTGGATTGGTGGGTCATCTCGATGGCGCTCACAAGCCTCGTCCCTGGGGAGCAGGAACCATCGCGATGCGTAGGCGTTGATTGACCTGTTTTTTTTTGGCTCATCAAGGCTGCTGTCTCACGTCATGACCTTCATCTTTGCACGCGCAGGGGGCTTTGGCATCGAGAGCTCCGGTCATCCATCATTCGCTTGGTCTTCAGCACTCCCATTTGACTTTACAAACTGGTACGCCGGTGGATTTTGCGCGAGCGTACCATGACGCGAAAACTCTGGCGTTTCAGGGGCACAGCCATGCACACGCGATGCCTCACAATGCAACGTGGGGGTGAATGTTTGTGTTTTCTCCATAGGCGAAATGGACAACCGGCAATGGGATATTCGGCCCCAGCCATTGCTTTAAGTCCATATTCAGCCAAGTGGTATGTACAAGAGCTGTATCTCAAGTTACCGTTTATTTGTCAGCAACACTTGTCAGTGCCCCCGCCATCGCCGCCAACGACAACGACGCGAGCGACGCGACCGCCAACGACAACGACGAGGGCAACGCGACCGCCAACGACAACGGCGAGGGCAACGCGACCGCCAACGACAACGACGAGGGCAACGCGACCGCCAACGACGTCCCCATCAACTGCGGTGCCCACAACCCCCCCTCCTCTTCAGGTGCCTTGCGAAGACACGTCAGGCTATGCGACTGGCCTCAATGTGACTCGGCGTGGAGCTCACCCACTGGTGACGGCAAATATCGAGGCGATCGCTGACTGCGTTCGGCTTTGCGACTCACTGGCTCGTTGCACCTATTTTGAGTATAAGGATGAGGGCGTTTGCTTGCTGTATAGTGGCTCCAACATACAGGCGCAGTATGAGGAATCAACGGTTGCAGTGCGACAGGTGTGTATGCCACATGAGTTACGCACCACTCTGGTATGTGATCATGTTGAGCACCGCGAACTCACATGGTATGCCCGTTTGCTGTGAAACAGAGAGTCAGTTGCTGCCCATCTGCAGGGTCATACATTTTGAGTCCAACAGGCATGATGGCCAGTAGCACTAGCAGCACGTCGAGTACATCGAGTACATCAAGCACATCTAGTACGTCAAGTACTTCTAGTACATCGAGTACTTCAAGTACATCTAGTACATCTAGTACATCGAGAACGTCTAGCACGTCCAGCACGTCCAGCACGTCTAGTACATCCAGTACGTCGAGCACGTCAAGCACGTCTAGCACGTCGAGCACATCTAGTACATCTAGCACGTCCAGTACGTCCAGTACGTCCAGTACGTCCAGTACATCGAGCAGCTCCAGTACGTCTAGTACATCGAGAACGTCTAGCACGTCCAGCACGTCCAGCACGTCTAGTCCATCCAGTACGTCGAGCACGAGCAGTACGTCTAGCACGTCGAGCACCTCGAGCACTTCTAGTACGAGTAGCACGTCTAGCACGTCGAGCACGAGCAGTACGTCTAGCACGTCGAGCACGTCGAGCACTTCTAGTACGAGTAGCACGTCTAGCACGTCGAGCACGAGCAGTACGTCTAGCACGTCAAGCACGTCTAGCACGTCGAGCACTTCTAGTACGAGTAGCACGTCCAGCACGTCCAGCACTTCTAGTACATCCAGTACATCCAGTACATCCAGCACTTCTAGTACATCCAGTACATCCAGTACATCCAGTACATCGAGCACGAGCAGTACGTCTAGCACGTCGAGCACGTCGAGCACTTCTAGTACGAGTAGCACGTCTAGCACGTCGAGCACGAGCAGTACGTCTAGCACGTCGAGCACGTCTAGCACGTCGAGCACTTCTAGTACGAGTAGCACGTCTAGCACGTCGAGCACGAGTAGCACGTCTAGCACGTCGAGCACGAGCAGTACGTCTAGCACGTCGAGCACGTCTAGCACGTCGAGCACTTCTAGTACGAGTAGCACGTCTAGCACGTCGAGCACGAGTAGCACGTCTAGCACGTCGAGCACGTCGAGCAGTTCTAGTACGAGTAGCACGTCTAGCACGTCAAGCACGAGCAGTACGTCTAGCACGTCTAGTACGTCTAGCACGTCGAGCACTTCTAGTACGAGTAGCACGTCTAGTACATCCAGTACATCCAGCACGTCTAGTACGTCCAGTACATCGAGTACGAGCAGCACGTCCAGCACGTCCAGTACATCGAGTACGAGCAGCACGTCCAGCACGTCCAGCACCTCTAGTACATCCAGTACATCCAGTACATCCAGTACATCGAGCACGAGCAGCACGAGCAGCACCTCCAGTACATCGAGTACGAGCAGTACATCGAGTACGTCTAGCACGTCTAGCACGTCAAGCACGAGCAGCACGAGCAGCACGAGCAGCACGAGCAGCACGAGCAGCACGTCTAGTACGAGCAGCACGAGCAGCACGAGCAGTACGTCTAGTACGAGCAGCACGAGCACGACTAGCACGACGAGTACGACGGCTGTGCCGCTGGGTTGTGTTCAGAACGCGGTGGCAACGTCTGAGCGTGTGGTGGATGTAGTGCTCGTGCTGGACTCGAGCGACTCGCTGCAGGCGTCTGGGTGGGAGCAGGTTGTTGCTTTTGCACAGAGCGTGGTGAGCGGGATTGAGAGGATCGGGGCCAATGCGGTGCAGGTTGCAGCGGTGTCGTTTTCGACGGATCCCGAGCTGTTGTTTGATTTTACGGAGGGCCAGAACCGGAGCGTGATTGAGGCGGAGCTGTCGAGCGCGGTATTTTTGGCGGGGCAGACGTTTACGCATCGGGCGCTTCAGCTGGTTTCGACGGCGCTGGTGTCGCCTGGGAGCGGCTCTGGGCGGCGTGCAGGAGCAGATCTGGCGGTGCTTGTGGTGACGGACGGGAATCCGTCGAACCGGAACCCTGTGCCTGGGGCTGTGTCTGCGCTTGTGGGCGCGGGGGCGGAGATGTATGCACTGGGGGTGACGAATGCGGTGTCGGACGAGGTGTTGTTGGAGCTTGTGAATGGGGAAGCGTCGCACGTGTTGCGGGCGGCTACGCTTCCGGGGTTGATGCAACGCGATGTGCAGCAGGAGGCGCTGAGTTTGGTGGTGTGCGATTCATAAGCACCTGCTCGTTTTTTTCCTTTTCACATCTCTCGAAATGCATTTTTTTCGCGTTCTAAATTGAACATCATCTCACGACATGCTCTTTTCCCTAATCGCTTGGGTCTGGACTTCGAGTAGAGCACAAGTGTGACTTGTGCCAATGACACGACCTTTTCCATGTCACAATCGCCTCGCACAGCGCCAAAGATGTCGCTGAGACATACAAAGTGTCAGCGTCAAATTCTAGCTCCCACGCATCTCAACGCTTTCACTGCTTTCGCATGCATTCAGCGTCGTTAACTTGTCTCTTTTCACTGGAGTCTCCATCGCTGATATAACTTCACTTTTTGACGAATATACGCACCTAAACACAGACACACTTGGGCTGACCCTAGGCAAGTGAGTAAGCAACACGTGCCTCCCGTACTTTGCAATCTGTGGGCAGACTGCCTTGTGTGATTTGGGATCGGGCAACCCTTCAGCTATTTTAACGCTGCATCTGGTCTAGTTACTGTGAATGCTTGCCGACCGCAGCTGGTTCAATGGACCTCAAGACACCATCAAACTTTTCGCTCGGTCCCGACGGACGTCTCTCAAATCTCTCTCAAAACGCTCCCTCAAACCTACGCGCTTCCTCGCAACTCAAAACTGGCCTATAACCGCTTGACCAATGAGTGCTCATCACGCAGGCTCTACTTCTGTGCCGCTCCTCGCACAGGGCACTTCATAGGTCGCTTCGCGGCTCTGGTCCACGCTGACCATATCCAGCGCCACTTTGACGGCGTCTGCCTACGCTCATCGTAGGGTCCCTCTGTGGGAACTCCTGTGTACACCAGTCGCGTCTTTTTATGCCTTGACTTGTATCTTCTTGTCATATTTACTGTATTTTTGTGGTATTTTCGTGATTGCTCGTGTGATGTCCTTCTGGTCTGTGGTCGGTTGTTTTCTCAACCCGACGTTGTGTCTTGCTATAGGAGTGTAAGTGTGCCGTGTGTTCTCTGTGTTTGTGCTGTGGGGCTTGGGGCAATTACCCTCGGGAGGAAATGTCATGTACTTTGACATATTCGATCCCCTGTATTCTGTAGAATACCTTTTTGAATTGCTTTTGCCCAAATTTACGTTCTGACTTGATTCATAAAAGGTATTCTTTGTCATGATGGGGCTCGAAATATTTGTATATCTTTGTTGCTATTCTGAATAAGTTCAGGCCATTTTTGAGGGCTTCAATAATTCAAATCTCAACATGAGATAAAGGGGTTGAAAGTATATTACTTCTGGTTGACAATTTCATTTTTTTTTTCCAATTTTGTTCATCTCTTTCGCGCATCAAAGCCAGCTGCCAAAGGGATACCTTGCCAACCCTGAGCAGATCTGACCATGCCAAGAGACCGCCATGCCATGGCCTGCGATGGTCAACAACGACGACGTGCAGCAACTATCGACACCTTCTTTCCCATTCAAGGTGGGCTCCGCGTGTGATGTGGCCCACTTTCTAGCCAGCCTCATTAGGCGCACGCTCTGATTGCGGCTTCCAATAGGGACCCGATCTGTTGCCACAGCTTCAACGACCGTGGCAGATGAAGTTGCCGACGTTGCCGCCAGTGCCCAACCGCCCGTGACCGCAGAAAGAGCCCCATCGCCTTCGGCTGCGAGCACGCAGGCGCCATCATCGCTCCTTCCATGCCCTCGACCTCCACCAGGTGTTCCCCTGCCGATCAATTTAGGGTGAGTCGATTGTCGAGCCCTTTTTTGTTGGTTTGCTTGTTCTGATAACGTGACAGCAGCCCTACGCAGCTGTGTTGACCGACATAACCTGGTTGAATTCTCATCGATGTCGCTTCGCTCGCACGCCTGGTACGCTGGTCCCGGCCGCGCCTTCAGGTCTCAAATCACCTGCGCCGCACTCGGCAATACGCTTTTTCAAAACGCACTCATCAAGGCTCTCAAAGAGCACCCTATTCCCAACGTCAAGCCTCCACAGTCCAGCACTCTGCAACGACTTGCCGAACACCTGCATGAAAAGCACTGGACACGATTCCCGAATGCCAAGTCAATTAAACAGATTCGATCGATTGGGGCCGCTAAGCTCAAGCCGTTTCATGAACAAACCTGGTTCGTCTTCGAACGCGTCAATGAGGAGATCCGGTATGACCCGCCGAGTAACGCAGCCTTGGCTACGCCTCGTCTGCGAACCGGCGCACGTAGACGCGCCAGTTCCCGCGCTCCTGCAAATGGTGAGCCTGAGTCATCAACGACATCCCCTTCTGAACCCATCACCGGCCCAGGGTCCTCCGCTAATGTGGAGGACAGCGCTGAGACATCAGATCCACCATTGCACCCTGAAGCAACATCAGACATCATGCCCTCATCACAACCGCAGCCGTCACCACAACAGCAACAACAGCAACAACAGCAGCCACTCCATGATGGTGCTCAAGCTGAGCCCGAGCCTGGGGACGCTTCCCCCATGCAGCTTCTGTAGGTACTCGCCTTCAAGAAGATGACCTTGCTTGGCTTAAAATGGTCTCATTTTCCAGTCACAACGCATGCTCACCTGTTCAAAATCTTGCCTCTGTTTGTATGTCTTCACGAATTGCAGGATGGCCTTTCACGAGCATCAAGTGCAGACCAATCGAACCCTTGACTTTGAGCTATGCCACCATGCCCGGTTACCATGTGCGGGCAGCTATCGCACCCCGCTGGCCTCCCTGTATCTGCTGGAGGGCGCAGAAATACTCTACTGGAACCCTCTCGTGGCACCAACACCACTAAATTGTCACGAATGTGGTACCCAGCTATCAGCCTTGCCAGCATCGTGTCCTCGGAGTGCGAACTGGTCCAAGTTGTTTCCCATCGAACACGAGGGCGCAGAGCCACGATTTGCCTCCTTTCGCGTCGTTCGCTGCCCAAACGATGATTGTGCCCTGCGCTTGAAGAAGAAAGGGCAAAAGTCTGCCCAATCCTTTCACTCCGGCCTGGAAGCCGTGCTCGAGGCCATGCCTACCTCATTGGCATCCATGTTTGAGCTCCACATCGGCTCGCGCAACCCAAAGGCATTCTATAGCATGCCATTCTACACCCGCGTCTTTGAGTCGCTTTGTGGAAGTACCACCTTGCTCTCGTTAGAGGAGGAGTGCAATCGGCAAGCCAGCGTGCGAATGACTTTGCTTGACACATGCTATTGCTCCCACGTGCTCGAATTTCGGAAGCGCGCCGTCCAAGTCACCGATATAGCTGATGTCAATATCCCAGGGCTGCCATCCAAACGCCCTTTTCCGAAGCCTCGTGAAGTGGTGGCAAATCTCAAGGTGGAGCCTCTCGCGGCAGTGCACCGACGTTGGAAAGACGACAAAAACCACTATCAGATGTTCACCAGTACTTATCGGCGGACGCTTGGGCGGCTTCGTACAACCTTGGGCGACCAGATCATGCCTCAGCTTCTACAAAGCAGTGCAATCATGCTGGCCTCTTCAGCAGATGTGCTGGCCATGGATCACACCTTCAAGCTCTTGAAAAATGTTCGTGGCACGGGCTACAACGCTGTCGCCACAATCCGGAGCAACACATCAGGGGCAGCACTAGCTGTGATGGTACCCACCACTGCAATCGGTCACCTTTCCCATACTTTGAGCGGCATATCACACCTGCAACAGGCACTTTCAAAAAAGGCGTTGCAGCAACTGAAAGTCAAAATCGACTCAGGAACCGTCCTTTTCGAGCACTTGAACGCTGATGAGCGTTTTGCCTTTGAGCTCCTTGCTCACTACGGCATCACGCAATCTTCAAAAGAAGGCCATTTGTCGTGGAGGCCATCGGCGCCGCAGGATTGGATTGAACAACTCGCCGCGCCAGACAGCCAAGCCATCTACGTGGACAATTGCTGTACCGTGCGCGAACAATTACTCGCTGCTCTGCCTTCTTTGGCCCGACAGTTTCAAACCCCTCAAGACGCGCGACAATATGAGCCAGTGAGCAGCCGAATTGTGCACATCAGAGTCTTGGAGAGCGAACGCCTGCGCACTGCCTCTGGAGCATCGCCAGAAGCTCGGGACGAGGCTGGCCAAGAAACTACTCAAATGCCAGCAGAAGAGTCGACTAGCATGACAGACGAA